CGTTTGCTGCTAGAGCAGAAGGCAGGCTCACGGTTAAGTGCAGCTGAGAAGGAGGTGGATTTGATCTCCTGCTTGAGGTGTTGTGCAGGACCCGAAATTCTGCAACCCTCTGATCAGTGCCAAGGGGAAGGCCCAGAGGTGCAGGGCCAGAGTTTATCTTAGCATCCCAAGACATATTTCCCATCCACTCCAGGGGACCCTTATTGATCTAGCAGGATCTGGATCTGCTAGCGTCTGCTTCTGTGGGAAAGCGGTACTTATCTCTGGAGAAGATTTGAGAGAGGGCTTGGGAAATGTTGTGTTAGTTCCCATACAGCTGCCTTCTAAAAGTGTTATTTGAAAAAGATTACAACCTCTTATTGACTGGCTCTCTAGATGGAGCTGCCCCGAAGTCTGAGTTTGGAGCTGCTCCCTTGTTATTTCGAGCGTGGATATGGCTTAATTCACACACTGGCTGGTCAAGAAAAGAGGAAGGTGAAAAATATTTCAGCCCTTTACAGACTTAAGTATGGCAGGCACAGCCCTGCATGTCTGTGTTTCTTGCCACCAAAGCATCAGCACCCTATGCAAAATCTGTCTGCCTGAGCTGTGCCCACAGTGAGAGCTGTTTCCCTTGGAAGGCTTTTGGCAAGCATTCAGGATTTGGGCTGAAACTTTCTCCAACTCTCAAGATCGCTGAAGCTCAATTAAAACCTGCATCTAATGACACTCCTAAGACCCAAGAGAGTTTCCTTGCACCTGTAAGAACTAATTATATTGCTATCAAGTTGTTTCCAGTGTATGGCGACCCTCATAGGATCTCCCAGTCTCTTTTTCTGGTGGAGCAACGGGAACGCTGTGCAGCTTGCTCTCTCTCGCTCGTTCCCTGCTTTGTCATGCCAGCGTTTGGCCCATCCTGCCGTTTGGAACAAGGCAGGGGGTGGAGCACCAGCATCATGACTCCTGAAGCTTCCCGCTGCAGAAGTCACATCGGCAACACTGGAAAGGATGGAGCCCTCTCTGCCTGCCCAGCCTCTGTGACATCACAAGGATTGACCCAAGGGCGTCACCCCTATGGTGTTTTCAAGGTTTTCACACAAAGTCTAACAATGTTTCCCATTTCAGAAAACTAGTTCCCATTAGAAACACTGAAGTTGGCTCTTCATGTCCTAAACCAGTGGTTCTTAACCTTGAATGTTTCCCATTTCAGAAAACTAGTTCCCCTTAGAAAGTAACACTGAAGTTGGCTCTCCATGTCCTAAACTCTTGGCAGCTGGAAGACCTCAGTAGTGGAACCCTGTGGCTCCAACCCGCTTAGCCCCTCAGCCCCACGAGGAATCTTTTTCTGTCTACCTCACAGGGCGGTTGTTGGAGATGCTTGGACCTGGCCCTGAGAGAGTTCAGCACATCAATGGTTTTAATCTGCAGAGATGTTCCTATTTTTTCTGCCCGGTCCTCCTCAAGATGTCCCGACGCACCTCAGTGTTGCCAGCACGAGCTTACCAAGCATGACACATCAGATGTATTCAGCTTTTAATGACCGGCTTCGTTAGCTGGAGACTTTGACATGGCTTTGAACTCAACTTCTAAGCCTAGCCTTTCCCAGAGGGGAGACTTTGAAATCTCACTGAGGACCTTCCTTCTGACGCATTTTCCCTCACCAAGAACGTCTGCAGAACATCCGCCCATCGGCTTTTCCATTTGGTTGCCCAACATTATGGGCTGGACAGAGAAAGGGGAGAAAGGGGCACGTGTGGGTAGAAAAGTTGGGCTTTTGTGTATCCCGGTGGGCTTTAATGTCAAACAGGAGGAGGGAATGCCCAGAAACAAACCACTCGTTTCCCATGACATTACAGTCATGATAGGATCCCCAAATTCCACTTTATGGCTAATGTTGTTACATAATCAGTGTCATGGACATAAATTGGGTGCTATTGTTGTGTAGAGTCCTTTGAACGCAGTGGGTTAGGGAGCCCAGGGTTCAAAGGATTATCTCTGTTGTAGTAGTGTGTAAAGAATGGTTTGCTCTTGGGCAGGCAATTAAGAGCTGTTACTTTTACAAAAGACTTGTTCCTGGTAGAAACAAACATGCAAGAACTCATTTGTTGATACGGATCAAACCGGCTGCCTGCATTTGGGGGCCTTCCTTGCAGGGGGAGCGGGCCGGCTGGTCACAGATGGTTCGTGATGAGCTCCCCCTCCCCTTTTTCAAATTTTGATCCTAAACCATATTACTGCAACACTGTTGCTTGCATTGTAGAGAAGCAGTTTTCTTTAAAAGGAGAGAAGTGGCTTTTTACAGCACATCCTCTCAGGATTGTCTGCAGAAACAGGTGTTGGCTTTCTTGGGGGGGGGGCGCCTTCCGGCTCTGCCTGTGGAGACCAACCTGGTGCTGAGCTGCTGCGCAAGGGGCCTCGGCTGCGGGCTGATGCCATGCCTGTGTGCAAGGGGAGTCTTCCTTTTGCAATTGTTTCTTGGCAGTGTTTCTATCACACACGCCCCCAGCAGCACACTTTTCCCCCGTCTGGCTCGACTGTGGGTCCCTGCCGTCCTCCTTCAGAGAGTGCAGGAGGCTGAAAATTCAGTTTTACTCTAGTTACAGGCTGACCATCCTGGTGAACACATGGACTGATTCTTCCTGTGTTGTTCCCCCCCCCCTCTTTCTTCCAGAATAAAGTACTGAACGTGGATGGCGTGAAAGTAAAGTTACAGGTAAGGAACTGCTGGAGAACAGAGGTTGGGAGCCAGAGGTTGGGAGTTCGATTCCTGCGCTGTGCCTCCTTGACAGGGGATGGGCCCAATGAGTCATAGGGTCCCTTCCAGCTCTGAGATGACAATGGTGGTGGTAAATTTTGGCTTCATGTTGCCCAATTCTATGGAGCGGAGTGGTTTCCTTGGGAAAGCCAGCTGTCCCCCAAGGGACGGGGCAGATTTGTTAATAATGTCTCCTCCAACTGAGGGCGAAGTCAGACGCTCCGAGAGGTGCGTTCACAAAGGTGGAGAATTTGCATGGCAGGTGGGGGGGTGTGACGATGGGCATAATGGTTGGAGTGGTGGGCCAGGAGAGGCAGGACGGGGGGGGGTCCGGCTTGACATTCCCCTGCCACCTCCCACGAGGAGGGTCTACAGAAGGACCTCAGCTTTTGCCCTACCACGCAGGGCTTTTGTGAAGATTAAACATGGGAGAAAATAGGTAGGATAGAAATGTTAGAAAGGAAAGAATAAAACCCAAGTCCTATCCAGGTGGGTTTGCTGTTGCCAGCCGTCAGTCCTAATATGTAGTCCTTTGAGATAATTATAAAGTCCTGCTAGGGAAAAAAATTAGTAGTTTACTACTGATACCCACAATTAATCCTTCAAGATAAGCTTGAATGTGAGCGTTACTTAAAAAAAAAACAGCTACTTAAGAGAGGACAGTGATTAATAGCTGTGCTTACGCATTACCAAAGTCTAGTTTATCCCCCAAACTCTGAAAAGATTTGAAAAGTGTTGTTGTAGAAGTGCATATATAAACATCCATTGCCATTTGCAAAACAAGACATTGTTACAGCTCTAAACCCAAATATTACCAACACGGGAGAAACTAGTGTATTGATCCATCCTTCAAAAATATTGTGTGAGGAAACTGGCCCACAATCCAGAGGAATTTCCCCCGCAGACGGTGAGGTTCAGCGTGGCAGCCCACGGCGAGAAACCTCCTGTCAGTTTTTGGGGGGGGGAGCATCTGTGGGCCGTGGTTGCCCGGCTATGTAGTCCTTCTCCTCACCATCCTTCAGAGTCCAGCCAGAGGATGATGTGCTCCATCGCCCCAAGAGCTAATTAAAACAGTAATGCCACCACCACCAGCATGCCCTGTTTCCAAAGGCATATCAGGTTTGATCTAGGCCAAGCCGCGGGTCATTTTTAGGTCCTGTTGACGTTAATGCACGAAACCATCATGCCTGACTTTAATTGCACTGATTTTTAGTACGATTTAGTGAGTTCTGGACCTCACTCACCCACCGAGTAATGGGGAATGTTTACAAACAGCTCAAAGGCGGTGGAGGTGGGGGAACCCCTGATGCCAGCTTGTCACTTGCACTAGAAGGAAATCAGCCACCGCACCCCCCAACACCTTCAGACTTCTTGATTTCCTTTTCTTTACATGCAAATGGGCCTTTTTCTTACGTGCGCATTGACTTGTTTTGTTGTCTTTAGATCTGGGACACCGCTGGACAGGAGAGGTTTCGTAGCGTCACGCATGCATACTACCGGGATGCCCACGGTGAGAACCTGCGCCTTTTGCTTGCTTCGTGGCTGAGATTTGGGTCACATGGGACAAGAAGAAAGGAGGGCTCTGGGTCGCATTTAAAGCTCTTTGTCCACTTTGGTTTCCAGTTTTGAAAGTCATACTTTTTGGGGTGTGGGCTGGAGGCAGAAATATATCCCCCAGATCTCCTCCTGAAATGCAGAGCTGGCCATCTTTTTTCAGCCTCTTCGTGGCTCCTGTTGAAGAGTCACCCACAATGGCTGTCTCTCTAAGCACAGCCCCTCCTCTGATTCCTGCTCCTCCTGAGTCATGACACTGGGGAGCCCAACCAGTCAGGGAGCAGATAAAGCCAGTTGAGAGGGAGGGCAGATAAAGCCAGTTGAGAGGGAGGGCAGATAAAGCCAGTTGAGAGGGAGGGCAGATAAAGCCAAGCACAATGATGTCTGGGAACGATGTGGAGCCTGGCTGGAGGCGAGCCGGAGAAGCACCAAGCATGTCCTCCGTAGGCAGTCTCCTAAGAAGGGAGGGGGGGTCTCCTCAAGAGCAAAGCCAGAGAGACTTAATGCAGGAGTGGCTGTAGCTCAGGTCACGGCAAGGCAGCCAAGCACCAATGATATCTGGGAACAATGTGGAGCCTGGCTGGAGGCAAGCCAGAGAAGCACCAAGCATGTCCTCCATAGGCAGTCTCCTAAAAAGGGAGGGGTCTCCTCAAGAGCAAAGCCAGAGAGACATAATGCAGGAGTGGCTGTAGCTCAGGTCACTTGGCCATAAAATCCTCACAGGTGGCTCAGGTCGGATCCAGAGATCAGGGCCTTTAACCCTTTTTACACCATGCCGGTCAAATTGTCCGCTCCTGACGTCTCCAGGATGTCTCAACAAGTGCTGTACGACCCTGGACCACTTCCCGGCTTCTTGCGAGATTCTCCTTGCCTTGTTCTGCTCATATTGAGCGTGGACTGTTTTGCTCTCTGTTGTGGGCCTGTCTCTGTGCTCTGTACACTTCGGCAATCAAGAGGAATTTAGGCAACCACCTGTCAGATCTGCTTTGACTGGGATCCCTGCCTTGAACCAAGGGGGGTCAGACTCAATGGCCTTAAAGTCCCCTTCCAGCTCCAAGAGTCTAGGCTTTTACGCCCCCCCTGCATCCTCTTCCCAGGTCTCCAGCCATCCTGAGTCTGTCCTGTTTCCTGCCCCCCCCCTTTATTTTCCATGCCTTTCAGTGTTGGGAGAAATGCTGGAGTGGAAAATATCCACTCCTGCTCCCCTCTAATCCAGCAGTGGGACAGGCCGCCAAAGCCCCGTGAAAGACGAAGCATCCGTTGGTCCTTTAGGGTCAGATCAAGCCACCTGTGTTCTGCTCATATTGTGTGTGGACTGTTTTGCTCTCTGTTGTGGGCCTGTCTCTGTGCTCTGCACACTTTGGCGGACAGGCCGGACGTGGCGTTGCTGTGTCCGGGACTGCCGGGCCTTTGGTCTCGCCCTTTTCTGCATTGGGACTGAGTGGCGGGTGGACCCCTTTGAGTTCAGACTGAGCTGATGGCGCCTTTGGGGTTTCCACCCCCTGCCTCTGGCCAACTCACCGGGGAGAAGTGGGATGATCAAGGGACTAGAAACCGAGCCCTGTGAGGAAAGTCTGGAAGGAACTGGGCATGCTTAAGCCTCAGTGTTGGGAGAAATGCTGGAGTGGAAAATATCCACTCCTGCTCCCCTCTAATCCAGCAGTGGGACAGGCTAACAAAGCCCCATGAAAGAGGAAGCATCTGTT